TAAAGAGAAAAGCAGACCGGTTGTCATGGAGCTTACATTCTGGGGACAGACAGTCCACATAAAGACTTTATATACTCGTACGTTGTGAGGTGGTAACTGAGATGGGGAAAGGACAGTGAGGAGGGCGTGGGAAGGGGGGGAATGTGGTGGCAGCTACAGTTTTAATAGGGGCATCAGGTTGGGTGTCACTGGGAACATAATATTTGAGCAGCGGGTTTACCTAGGTGAGAGAGTGAGCCAAGAGAACAACATGCAGAGGAAAGGTTTCCCAGGCAGCAGGAATAGCCAGTACAAAAGCCGTAGGAAGGACTGTGCGTGGAGGTTTGAGGGACAGTGAAGAGGCCAGTGAGGCTGGATGACAGTAAACGAGGAGAGTTCCCAGGTGTGGAGCACAGATCAGGAAGAGCTGTCTCACTTGAAGGGCGTTGGAGTTGACTTGAGTGAGATGTGGCGTGGTTGAAAGGGTTTGATTTTTTTTCTTTAAAGAAAATATATCTTTATTGATTTCAGAGAGAGGAAGGGAGAGAGAGAGAAACATCAGTGATGAGAGAGTCATTGATCGGCTGCCTCCTGCACGCCCCCCCTGGGGATCGAGCCCACAACCTGGGCCTGGGCCCTGACTGGAAATTGAACCTCCATCTCCTGGATCATAGGTTGATGCTCAACCTCTGAGCCACACTCGGCCTAGTGGTTGAAAGGTTTTGAGTACAGGAGAGACAGTCACCAGCTTCATGAGTATGTGACCTGTATAGTTGCATAGGATGGCTATACTTAATTTAATGCACTGCTATAACTGTCTTGAGATTTTTAATGATTTTTTATCACGGAGCTCCACATTTTCATTTTGCACCAGGCCCTGCAAGCTATGTAGCTGATCTGGCATGATCTATATTCTGAAAAGATCACTGTGACTGCTGTGTTGCGGATACACTGTAGATATAAAGAAACTAGGAACCTAGAAGCCATGAGACTAGTTACTAGAAGACTATTATAGTAATTCAGACAAGAAATGATGCTAGTCTGGACCACCAGGATGTTAGCAAAGGATGTGGTGAGAAGCTAGAACCAACTAGATTTGCTGATAGATTGGATGTGTGGTGTAAGAAAGAGAGATTAGAGGATGATTCCTCCCAAGTTTTTTGGCTGATTAAGTAAGTGGAAGGATGAAATTGCTTTCTACTGAGAGAAGCTTCTGGTAGGACAGGTTTAGGAAGAAATCAGGAATTCTGTTCCAGACATGCTGAGTTGAAATACTTTCTCTATATCCAAGTAGAAGTGTTGAGTAAGCAGATAAATATATACATCTGGAGTCCTGGAGAGAGGTGTGGGCTGCAGATATAAATTTTGAGAGTCTTTCATATAGAGGTGGCATTTAAAGAGTGAGAACGGAGGAGAGAAGAAACAAGGATGAGCCCTGGGGGCGTTACATTGTAAAGAGATTGGAGGGGAGAGAGAGATAACCAACAAAAACCCAGGAAATGGCCATTGAGAATCAAATCTGAGATTGTGGTTCTCAGGAAACCAAGTGAAGAAAGTGTTTCAAGGAAGGAGTGGTCAGATGAGGGGATTGCTGCTGAGAGACCTGGTCAGAGGTGGGCTGACCATTGGATTTAACAGAACAGAGCCTTAATGATATGGTTTTGGTGGAGGAGTGAGGCTGGTTGGCCAGGGCTTGAGAGTGGAAGGAGGGAAAGTGGAGAGAGAAACTATGGGTCATTCTTTCAAGTTCTGCCTCAAAGGAAGGCAAAATGTGGGATGGCGGCCTGGTACAGAAAGCGAGGGCAAAATAAGTTTTTGTTTTTAATATGAGAGAACTAACAGCATATTTGAATGCTGATAGAGACAAAAAAAATTAATAGGAAAGGGAACAATAGTTGAAACAATTGCCTTGAGAAGGCATGAGGACATCTGTGCCAGAAAGAGAGGGAGGGAGACAGACAGAGGCACTATCCTTTGATCCCACTGAAATCACCTATCTCTTGGTCCTGTCACCATTTTGCTGCTCTCAATCATTGGATGTCCTCTCTTCTTTGGAATCGTGGTCAAACATGCTCTCTCTCTTGCGTACACCCTTCAGTTCTTTGGCCCTCTAAGGCTTCAAGCACTTGCTGGGCCAAACATTAACCCTGATTAAATCCAACTCTACCAAACCATAGATCAATGGATTAATGATATCAGTGGTATCAAAGGATAGCTGTGGTTGGGAAGGAGGTAGCTGGAAAGATAGGAGATGATGTTTTTCTGTGGTACAAAAATGAGGTTATGGAGAGGTTGCAGTTACTGGTTCAGGTCACGACTGAGAGACTGTCTAAAGTAAATGGAAGGCAGACTCTTTGGAGGGGGGGAGTTCAAAAAGCCAGGTTATTTGGAAAATTGTCTGTGTATTGAAATAGCCAAGACTTAAGACAGACGTGTTAGTGACAGTGAGCCAGGAGCCAAACTCCTCTAAATGAAGGGAGTGACTGAGAGTTTGGTAGATGATAGCAACAATGCAGATTAGGATATAAGTTCCTATAGTACTTGAACTACATACCCAGGAGCAGACAGTCTAGTAAATTCTAGTCCTACCTGACTATTCTTCACAGGGGCGGCACTAGCTGCTGTCGGGCCTTCGGTGTAATACAGAATTCTATTTCTCTGCATCTTTGCCAACACATGGTATTATCTGTTTTTATAATTATTGTCAGTCTGATGTAAAGTGTTTTATTTGGTTGTGTTCTTATTACTGGTATGGCTGAGCATCTTGTTAGTCCTTCAGGTGTCCCCTCCTTGTGTATCTTTTTGCCCATTATGGATTTGTGTTGGCTTTTACTTGCAGAAGCTGTCTATCTGTTAGAGAACTAAAAACTTTATGGGTTAAATTTTTTTTCTGTTGAGTTTTATCTGTTGATTTATATTCTTTGTGATTTTTACAATGTAGAACCTATTATAACTATGATAATATCTGCATAAAGCATACAGATTACTTTGAGGGTAATTGACATCTTTAAAGTATGTATTATGTTTTTGCTTATTTACGTCTTTTATGTCCTTAAATAGTGATTGCATCTTTTTCCAATAAGTCCAGTCCATCCTTTGATGGGTTAACCCCTAGAAAGTTTGTAACTTTGGTTGCTATTGCGAACAGTACCTTTTTTTAAAATCCTCACCTGAGGATATGTTTTGTTTTGTTTTTTAAGTATTTTTTTTCTTTTTTAGAGGAATTGGGGGGAGAGAGAGAGAGAGAAACATGGGGGACTAAGCCTGAAACCAGAGCATGCGCCTTGACCAGTATTCGAACCTGCAACCTTTTGGTGCATAGGACAACACTCCAACCAACTGAGCCACTGGCCGGGGCTAAACAATATCTTTTTTTTTCCCCAAAAAAATTGTATTTTCCAGCTTTATAATGCTACTATAGAAGAACAGATTGATTAGTATGTTGTTCTTATTTCCAGCAAACTTCCTGGACTCTTATTGGTTCTAATAATTTATATTGATTTTGTATGGTTTTCTATATTAATCTTTTTTTTTTTTTGTAAATAATGGTAGTTTTACCTTTTTCTTCTTCCAACTTTCTATCTCTTGCTACTCTTTTCTTTTTTTGAATACTATGTTGAACATTAGCAATGTAATAGGCATCTTTTCTAATTACTGAGCTCTCCAATAAATACATCATCATTTTCCAGACAAAAACCTACATTCATCTGTAATATGATGACACTCATGAGACAATGAAGGGGCACAACTATCTCCCCCTATTCCCAAGGAGCCAGCATAGTGCCAAGCAGATAGCTATAATATATACTTGATTTACTCTTTTTTAAAAAATGTTTTTATTGATTTCAAAAAGAGGAAGGGAAAGGGAGAGATAGAAACTTCAATGATGAGAGAAAATCATCGATTGTCTGCCTCCTGCACATCCCCTACTGGGGATCAAGCTCGAAAACCAGACTTGTGCCCTGACCAGGAATCAAACCGTGACCTCCAAGTTCATGGGTCAATGCTCACCCACTGAGCCACGCTGGCCAGGTTGTACTTGATTTACTCTTAGCCCACTATGTATTCATCTAAATAAGTTGAGCTTCTCCCGTGTTCCAGGCAGTGAACAAGACAGACTCGGAGATAGACTCTAAGCAAGTAATTACAATAAAATGTGTGCGTGGGAGTGTTTGGACAGGTAGGTGGTCAGCGAAGGCCTGCTTTGGAAAGATGTTTAAACAGAGACATGATGGGTGAGTAGCAATTCCATGGGAGCAGGAAGAAGGAAACAGCTTGCAGGAAGGCTAGAGTCTAGAGTGTGGTCCGTTGGAGAGCCTGGGAGGAATGGCTCACCACTGATGGGGAGATGGGGCCTTTTAGACCATCTCAAGGAATATCTTTAGATTTGGCCCAAAGACAATGGAAAGCCATCTCAAAGCTTTACACAGCCGGCTGACAAGACTGGACTAACATCTTAGGAAGATCATTCGTACTGCAGTGCAATGGGTCAGAGTTGATAAAAGGCCTTCTGGGCTGGAGGGCGTGGTGGCTGACTGGGCGTGGCTGTGGGGGAGAGGAGTTCAGAGTGACTTCCAAGTCTCCGGCCTGAAAGACTGGCTAGGTGGCAGTGCCAAGCACTGAGACGAGGAATACAGGAGGCAGGGGAGGAAGATGGTGTTTAGTTTTAGAAATGTTCAAAGTGCCCGTAGGTTATTCAAGTAAAAACATCCTATGGGGACTTGTAATTAAGGGCCAGTAGAGAAGTTTGGATAAAGATTTGAAAACCTTAAGTTTATAGATGGCGACTGAAGCCACAGGCGTCCGTTGGATCATTCAAGAGCAGTAGACATAGTGGGAGAACAGAAGACGGCAGAGGTGGATGGGAAGGTCAGAGGAGTAAGGAGAAACCTAGTGGCATGTGCTGGCATAACTGCCCCGGCAGGGCCCATAGCCCCATCCCAGAAAGCTTTAAGGCCCAGGACCCTGGGGCCACAGTGGAAGTGCGAGGACATTTTGACCCTCTTCTGTCTTTTTGCCAGTTGCCAGATATAAACTCCGTGTAGTTGAGCCACCAAAGCTACCTGTGGGGAAAAAGCCCACCCCTGATAAAGATGGTGAGTAGTGGGAATGCGCCCTCTGACATGGATGGCCCTGTGGCCTGGGCGGGACACCCAAAGCCAGTGAGCTAAGGCACATAATCTATTTTTTCTCTGCACAGGTCCAGATATTGAGCCCAACCTGTGGATGTGGGTAAACCCTAACATCGTGTTTCCCCCTGGAAAGCTGGAGGCCCCACAACCTAGTAAGGGGGAGTATCTGACAAGCACACTCCCCTCCCCTCAGCTGCCCCCAAAAGAGGAAGACTTGGCCAACTGTTCAGAGGCCAAACCAGTGAAGCCGCTGCCTCCGTCCCCCAGGCGGCATCCTTTCCCCACGAGGCAGTTTGCTTCCCCCAGCAGCCGGGAGGTAGGGATTTCTGAGGTGGTAGGCTGGGTGGGCAAAGGGATTATGCATCAGAGTTCTGGCTCTTAGGGATAACACAGGGTTAATGGGTTCAGAAATTAGCTGTGTCCTTGGGTTGGGGAGCAGTCCAGATGGTGGCCCTAGACCACTACCCCTTCCTGCCATTATATCCTGGAGTAGGGGCCATGGAGTCAGGACCAGTTCTGACTCTGTGCTCCTCTAGCTCACAGAAGAGGAGGAGGCTAAGGACCAGGATGACAGCTCCTCTGCGGCTCTCCTGTCCCCTCACAAAAGGGCTCCCCTCCAGAGTCGGAGGCTCCGGCAAGCCAACAGACAGGAGGGGAGGCTCTGGTCCCGGCCCCCTCTCAATTACTTCCACCTAATTGCACTGGCACTAAGAAACGGTTCCCCCTGTGGCCTCAACGTGCAGCAGATCTACAGTTTCACTCGGTACGTGCTGGGGGAGGTTGTGAGGAAGGGGAGGGAGGGGCAGGGTCCTAGGTCTGAAGCCTTCCACTCTGCCCCAGCCCTTGGCTGCTGCCTGGGTTTTACCATCTGGATCTGAGAGGATAAGTGTATTCCCAGTTCTCCTTACCCAGGCATTGGTTCTGGGTTGTCCCTGAACGTGTGTCCACATATCACATGTATAGGAAGATATGCACCCCCACCCACTTTCACATTAGAGAACTCATTACTTTTTATATCTTAGTTCTTTAAAACATAAACTCACCTGGGTAATAAATTCTTCCACCTCCCACTCAAGATTATCTAGTATAAAGTCTAGGTTCCCCAACAGTCTCTCACATGCTTTCCCTTGGGGTTTTGTGTGTGTTTTTTAAAAATATATCTTTATTGATTTCAGAGAAAGGAAAGGAGAGGGAGAGAGATAGAAACATCAATGATGAGAGAGAGTCATTGATCGGCTGCCTCCTGCACGGCCCCGACTGGGGATCAAGCCCGCAACCCAGGCATGTGCCCTGACCGGGAATCGAACCCCGATCGCCTGGATCCTGGGTTGACGTTTAACCGATGAGCCACGCCCGGCTGGGCTCCCTTGGGTTTTTCGTGAGGTTTTTTGGTGTGTGTTTTTAAATATGTTTTTATTTATTTCAGAGAAGGAGGGAGAGGGAGAGATAGAAACATCACCGATGAGTCATTGATCAGCTGCCTCCTGCACGCCCCCTCCTGGGGACCACATGCTTTTCCTTTGGACTGTACTGCCTGGCATAGCTCCCTGTACCCCCAGGGGCACCCAGTTGAGAAGGGATTTACATTTAGCTCTGGTAGTCATGCACACATGAGTGTGAGAAGTTTCTCACACCTTTTCCTATGTCCGAAGAGTCTCAGAATACTAATCCTCAAGTGGTATCCCTCCTTGACCAGGATTCCTCTTACAGGAGCTGATTGGCCTCATTTATGCTTTGTTCCTGTTGCAAGTCCAAGTCCCAAGATCTCAGGGAGGGAGGGTAATGAGCCTAGGAATCGGGACAGTAAAACGGTTTCAAAGGTGAGGGTCTGTACAAGAAACACACCAGGTGGAAGTCTGGCCACACGCTCAGTCAGCAAAGAGCAGTTTAGGCCAGCTTGCCATTCTCCACCTGGAGACGAGGGCTGAGGTTCCTGGCCCCTGGGGGAAAACATGCTCAAGGATAGGGAATGGCCCACAGGAACTGTGCCTTTCCTTACCACTCCTCCCTGTCCACAGACAGCATTTCCCCTTTTTCCGGACTGCTCCCGAGGGCTGGAAGAATACCATCCGTCACAATCTCTGTTTCCGAGACAGCTTTGAGAAAGTTCCAGTCAGCATGCAGGGTGGGGCTAGTGCATGGCCTCGATCCTGCCTCTGGAAGTTGACCGAAGAGGGACACCGCCGCTTTGAGAAGGAGGCCCGAGCTTTGGCCTCCACTCAGCTGGAAAGTATCCAACAGTGCATGAGCCAGCCAGGTGTGAGGCCCTGTCATGTGTGTGTGTGTGGGGGGGGGGACCATGAAGATCCTGACCTAAGGCTGAATATGCAAGGAGGGAACCTGGGCCACACCATGGGGGTACCTTCTGTAGGAAGGGGAGAGGATAGTAGTGGTCTGAAACCCTGGGGTGATGCCTGCCTAAGGTGGGATCCCACACACAATCATGGGACTTGAGGTACAGAGAGCTAATGGAGAAACAGCTAAGGTACAACTGGTCCTATTCACAGTCCAGCAGCCTAGGGAAATGGTGGCCACACAATGTCAGAGCATGGTGTGAGAGTTTATATACACAAAGGGCTTTTTCTTTTCCTGGATACCAGCTGGCATGTGGGCCTTCAGAGAGAAGACCATCTACTGTGAGAGGGCATTCCAGGCTTAGGGAACAGCAACTGCAAAGGGCAGATAGACTCCTTTGACTCTTTTTTTCTTACAGATGTGATGCCCTTCCTGTTTGACCTTTAAGTCCAAGAAGCAAGCCCATGCCGTATTAAAGTTACCTGCAGCAGCCTGGTGTGCGTGCGTGTGTGTGTGTGTGTGTGTGTGTGTGGTGTGTGTGTGTGGTCTCTGAGGATGGGAGAAAAGGTAGAGGTGGACGTCAGCTCTGAGGTTGGACGTGGGATGCCCTCAGAGCTAATGGGTGCTCCAGAGGCAATGGGGCAGTGCCTGGTGTGCAGCAAAGGGATCCCTGCTCTTCTTTCCTCAAAGGAAGAAAATACCCCCTTTTGGGATCCTGGAGCAATGACCACTTCTCTGGGTTATGATGATAGTCGGGAGATGCTAGCTCATAGCAGCCAGCCCTGCAAAAGGCCCAAAGCACACCTGCCCACAGGAGTAATCAGCTGGGGACAGTAAAGAGAAGCCTGGGGAAACACATTTATGGGGCAGCTGAAGGAAGACAAACCCTCATAGGCCGTGAAGGAGCAGTGAGAAAGATGAGAGGAAAGAATTTCTTGAAAAAGGGCGTGGCTCAGCAGTTGAGCATCCACCTCGGATCCAGGAGATCGCAGTTCAATTCCCAGTCAGGGCACAAGCCCGGGTTGTGGGCTCGATCCCCGATCCAGGGCATGTAGGAGGCAGCCGATCAATGACTCACATCATTGATGTTTCTCTCTCTCTCCCCTCTCCCTTCCTCTCTCTGAAATCAATGAAGATATATTTTAAAAAAAGAAAAGGAAAAGGGAGTCGTCAGGCTCGTCTCATTTCCTCCATTTAGCCATTGGGATGGAACTGAGAGCTGAGGTGCATGCTCTTTCCCTGTGCCACTGGTCACCACCATACCCTCAGCAGAAGCCAGAGCACTTGTGGGTCCTGGTCCTTAGAGGCTGCAGATCCCAGCTGGGGTTGTGGCTTTCCTGGGTGTGGGAGACCATGTTTAGGGCAGGGTCAGCTGCCAGCCTCAGGTCTGAGGGGAATGGGGGACAAGTAAGAAAGGAATGAGGGTCAGAGCTGTGTCAGGATGTCACAGGCATTTAGCTGGTGCTTGAAGATAATGGATTTACTACCAAGCTGAGATGACTGTTCTCATTCCCTCTCCTGCTTTGCCCTCACCAGCCAACAGGCCTGCACAGAAGCATGGCTCTACACTCAAGATAGTCCGCTCCAGGGACTGGGCATCCTCCTCTCCAGAGGTGGCAGTGGGTGGTGCTTGAGTCTTGAGAATGGCTCCCTTGCCCAGGGCCTCCCAGGAATCTGCAGTCAGCTGGGGTTGAGGGCGCCTCACTCCCCCTTTCCTCCCTGCCCTGCTTGCCTCGCTGCCAGCACTGGGGCAGCCACTGCATCTTTGTTCCAGGAGAACCCACCTCAGGCAGGCACTTCACCTTGAGCATCAGGGTTCTGATCAGGAAATGAGTTAATAGATGCCTCTCTTTCAGTACCAGAGTGGGAAACAAGTGGGGTGGAGTCAAATGCTTCCTACTGAACCTAGTTCACAGCGGAAGCTAAATAGACAGTACTGATTTATTGTTCATTGTGCCATCTAGTTACGAATCTCCTCCGTTCCAGATGCTGGTGGGCTAATCATGGCCTGGCTCTACTTTGAGCCCTTGACAGCTCTTAGTGGTTGCCTGCACCTCACTGCTGCTGGTAACACTCTGATGTTTCACGTTTGACTCCCAGCTCTGCTCCCTCAGCAGATAACCTGTCCTCCTGTGCAATATCTTCTTCACATGTTTTCTTAACATTCCTAAACTGGTTTTTTTCTAATGCAAAATGGGGATACTAAAAATATGCAGATTTGATTTGGGATCTGAATAGGACAAGGGAAAGCAGGCAGTCTCGTGCCCGGCACATTGAGTGCTTAGTGCTCACTTGCAGGTTTCATCTGTACCTTAAGGAGTGGATACCATTTTCTTCTTCATCTCTGAGTTGTGATAGTCATACATATTTGAGGAGTAGCCTTCATTTCCTGTCCACTTATTCACCCCTTAATCCTTTGCAGTCTCTCACTGTGAAATCCAATTGCCAGTTCCCTGGTCTCTGAAATGTGGTATTCCTGAAAAAGCATGGCCCCTGCCCTACCAGACCAAAATCTCCACCTTTGAAGAAAGGCCCATTTGCTTGCTTGTCTTGCACATTTTGGTAACATATCAAATCCCACCCTGCTGACCTCTCCACTCCCACCACCACCTCCACCTCCGCACTACAGCTGGTGCATTCACTCCCCAACACGCACCAGAAATGGAGAAGTGCTAGGCCAGGAGCTCTCACTGAGCCTAGGGGACTGTGGCTGCCCAAAAGATTTGGGGTGGTTGTGGGCATTGGGAGTCAGACCCAGGAATATCAGATGTCCTCAGACAGGCGTCAGTTTCTCACCCTGAAGAACTGACCCTCATACCTCAGGCCATTTTTAAGAACCTGAGAATCTAACTTAGTTTTACACCTAAGCAGAAAATATTTGTTGCATCATTTTAATATAATTTCCCAGGAATGCAACTATTATGTAAAAATGAAGATTGTATTGTTTGGTTTGGAATTTTACCAAGAGTTGTCTGCCATTTTGGAAAATCACTTCACTGACAGCAAAGCTGCTCTGGCAATTAAGTCACCCGTACCACGTGCCTTCTCTCTGTTTGTGTCTGCTGTACTCAGGGATTCTACACGTGTAAACAAATATTTAGTTATTATTTCAAGGTAGCCTATATAAAAAAGTATTTTATTTTTAAATACGCTTTTTATTGATTTCAGAGAGAGGAAGGGAGAGAAACATCAATGATGAAAGAGTCATCATTGATCGGCTGCCTCCTGCACACCCCCGACTGGGTACCGAGCGCGCAGCCTGGGCATGTGCCCTGACCAGGAATCGAACCGCTATCACCTGGATCCTAGGTCAATGGTCAACCGCTGAGCCTGGTTGGGCTAAAAGTATTTTCAATAGTTATTTAAATATCTCTTAAGTATGTCCTAATTTCTAACTCATGTTTTCAAATATAGTTTATCCATTGAAATATCATAAATTTATCTCCCTTTATCTTTGTTATATTATAGAGTGTTGTATTGCTCTTTTTAAAATTATATGTGTAGGTAGGTTATTTTATAAGATTCATTTCAGGGTGTAAAGATAGTCTTACAAAATATTTGCTCACTTCCTAGACTGTTAAGGCTGATGGGAGAGAACCACAAAACCAAGCAATGCTTACCATCCAGTCCCTGTCTCAGAGGCCCTTACCCACATGACACTGGCGGTCAGTGAGAATGATACAATGGCATAAGTCAAGTTCGTGTCTAAACCCCCAGAGCCTAGTGAGAATGCAGTTTGCTGTGAATCGTCACTAGTAACTTCTCTAACAGGCAGGTCCACATTCTCTGGAAGTGCAGAGAAGGTAGCAGTTAGCTCTGCAGTTGCTGGGAAGACCTCTCACATGAAGCCTTAGCACTGGGTTTTGTTTCCAGGTCCAGATAACAGCAATTCTGCAGAAGTGCTCAAAGCTAGCCGTGCCCTGCAGGGACTGAGGTGGGGCTGGGGAAAGAAGGGGTGGGGAGGGCTGATGGTGCCACCAGGAGGCGGAGGTGGGTGTCAGGGAGGTGGGGAAGCAAGGATGGGGTGGGAAGCAGTGAGCAGTGCCGAGGAAAGGGACAGACAGGCCTCAGCCCAGCCGGAGCAGATGGGGAACACCTCCCCTAGTCCCTCTTGAGATGCTGTGCTGTTTCTCCTGTACTGTCCGGATGCTAATTTTTATGTGCTATCCACTGGAAGAATGGCTGGAGGGACCAGGTAACCAGTGTCCCTCACTCTGAGCCCACTCAGCACTCTGCAACCTGGGCTCCCTCTCCTACCACCCTGGTCTCTAGCTCCCAGGCAGAGGCATCATCTGATTCAGCCCTAATTTGTCCAGCTCCTCTGCACGCGTGCATCCTTCCCCTGCCCACATTCTTGTCAGTGCCTGGTTTAAGTCTCAAGTGCCCCCAACAGGCAGCAGTTCAGGAAGAAAGAACAAAACATAGCCTTGTGGGAAAAATGACCCTGAGAAAAACCTGCCTTTACCCATTTTACCCCCAAAAGACTATCAGACTCCTACCCTCATTTCCTCTTTTTCACTCATCCAATGATTATTTGTTTTCAGTTTTCAATACTCCAGGCCCTTCGTCAGGTGCCAGGGATATGGGTCCTCCTTCACAGTGTCAGCCTAGATGGAAAGACCTGTTGGCAGGTAACTGCTGTAGTCCAGGTGGGCCAGGATAGTGGCAGCAGCAGTAGAACTGGAGAGAAGCAGACTGATGTGATGATGAATTTTGGAGGTAGAATCAACAAGTCAGCAGGACTGACTGGATGCAGGAGGAAAGAATGACTCGGGTTTTGGGGTTAAGTAACTGGGTGAGTGATGACAGGAAGCCTGTAGGAGCGGCAGATTTAAGCAGTTCTGTTTAGGATCTGTGAGGCATCAGGGTGGTTATGTCAAGTAGGTCATTGTTATGTCAGAGTTGAGAAGATATGTCTGAGCTGAAGATATAAATACATTTGAGCGTCACTGGGATATAGACAGTATTTAAACCATGTTCTATTTATTGGCATAGGAACGTATCCACAGTACATTTTTTGGAGTAAAAAACCCAGCAGAACAGTATGCTCGATATGATTCTAAAGGTGGCAGAAATTATTGTTCATATGTAAAAATATGTTTCAGCATAGAAAATGTCTTGAAGAATATAGGTATCAAACAGTAGTAGTCAACTTTGAGGATTGGGGGTGGTAAGAGATACGGAGGACAATCACTTTATAACCTCTGTACAGTTTCTTGATGTTTTTTAATACTCACCTGAGGATTTTTTTTTCCATTGCTTTCCAGAGAGAGTAGAAGGGGGAGAGGAGAAACATCGATGTGAGAGAGACACATGGATTGGTTGCCTCCCACAAGAGCCCCAGAGGGGATCAAGCCTGCAACTGAGGTACATGCCCTTGGCCAGAATTGAACCCAGAACCCTTTAGTCCATGGGCCAATGCTCTAACCATTGAACAAACCAGCTAGGATGTACAGATTTTTTTAACAAGATATTTTTACCAT